CCCTCCCTCTCTCCCTCCCTCCCTCTCTCTCTATCTCTCTCTTTCTCTCTCCCTCTTTCAATACACACTCACTCTCACTCGATCTTTCTTTCTCTCCATCTATCTCGATGCATTCGCCTCGCCATCCGTTTGGTTCATTCGTACCGCGTCTCGTCGAAGTCGCATCACGAAACTTAACAGAGGTCACGTCGGAGAATTCACTCACCCGGTGAACGCATCACGGCAGCTACAGTAACTGCAAACTGTCTCTTAACGCCTGGAAAACAAGTGTCGATTAAAATCGGTCGAGAAAAGGGCAGAGATATGATCACAAGTGTTCGGTGACAATACATTTAAATATATATAAAACATCGGTAGTAATTGAAAAAAAGAGAATATACCGATATCGTCGAGAGTGCTGATATACGCCGGGTATATACTGATTCATCAACAAGAGTTTCATTTCTTTAAATCAACCAGCTGTTTGCCTTCCACGACATTAGCAGAAAAAAAGCGAGTAAAAAAGGGAAAAAATTGTGTGTGGTGCAGACATGTGGTTAAGAAGCGTACTTCTGTAAGTACTCTAATCAACAATTATTAATCAATTTTTGAATACTTATCTTACGATTTTCGGCGGACGCATGTGAAAATTCAATTCGAGTAAAATTAAATTTTTTGTAAAGAACTTAAATATAGGTTGGTCATTTTAGAAAGAACATTATTCCCAATTTTTTGGAAACACAAAAATAATTTAATAATAATAATAATTAAATAATTTAATGATAATAAAATATTGAAATATATATATAATATATATAATATATGTATTCTAATATTATCTTCTATATATTAATATTATATTCTATATATTAAATATACCAAATATCAATATATTCAAAGGACGTAACCGTTGATATAAAAGAGAGTTTCTTAATTTTTATATATATAGTTAACTCTATAGTTCTGTAGGTAGCTTTAAATGATGGTTAAGTAATTTGATCTATTGATATCTAAAAATTTAGCTAATATAGAGATGATACATTAGATTAAATTAGAATACGCATCGCCATATATAAATAGAAGTTATATAAAGAAATTATTATTTTTAATTATTAAAAATTTATAAAAATTGAAAGCTTTCAGTATTTAAAAAATATTAAAAATCTAAAAAGTTATGAAGAGTTTTAATTACTGAATACGAATTGTTCACGAATAACACAGATTTGACACAATTTATTCATCTGAATCTTAATTTTCATTAATATGTTTCTTCTACATTGAAAATATATTCTTTTATTACATTACTATATTCTTTTATTGAAAATACTAATTAAGTTTCAGTAAATACCTCATGCGTGTCTTTAATTGATGCGTATCCAATCAACACGCTATGCACTGCACTTCTAAATTAGTTTCTGTTTACGTCATTTTTATTCATTCAAATATCTAGTTTGGTATTCATCATCAAATTTCATCAATTGATATTATCAAATTTTGTTTTATATTATTATTATATTATTTTATATTTGTATTATAATTTCAATGTAATATTTTTTCAATGTAATATACAACTTATTTTGCATTCTGTTCCGAAAAATACAAAACAAAGCTGATTTATCGATTGTTAATTTTAATGATTGTTTGATAGCGCGGTAATTATTATAGGACATACTAATAAATCGAGAAAATTATTTACACACATACATATTGATACACACGTATGCAACATTTATAAAATCCACATCAATCTGCATCAGTTCTGTTGTATCTGATGCAAATAGCGAAAAAAGGTCTCATTTAAAATGACTTACAAAATCCTGGTTAATGATTATAAACGATTATCGATCCAAAAGTAAACGGCTTTTCATGGGCAAAAGATATTACGCTTTTGAGTTACAACTTATTGTAGCGAAACGTGCGCACGAACAGCGACTCACTCTTTTAGATACACTGATTACTCACAGTTTCATTCATAAGGATGTGTACATGTGATTTATTTGAGAGAAACTTCCAGACATTGTCCTTAATTTTAAATTATTAATCTTGAATTATCGATCAAGAATAGAAATCAGTCTAACTAGATCATAATTTAATCATATAAAAATTTTTGAAATATGAAGAGTAAGTAAAAAATTTTCACACTAAATATATTTGAACATTTTTTATATTTTCAAAAGTATTGTATATAAAAAATATATCTTATTAGGCTTGCATCAGAAATAACTTATAATAGAAACATTGTTAATGTAATTAGATCAATACTATTTATTTAAATTTATAATAATAATATTAATAATATTAATAAAAAAATATATTAAATAATTAATTAAATAATTAAATAGTCAATTCAATGCATGTTTTTAATTTTTAAATTTAAACATATTTTATTTATACCAGGTTTTTCAAACAAGATTCAAAACCAAAGTAAAATAAGTGAGTAATGGTAAAGTATGTACTATGGATTCACATTACTTTGGCGAAAGCGTTACAAATACGTAAATTTGAAGCCTTTTGCGATAAAACATGTCATTATTTGTATATCTCATATTGTAAGATTATTGCAAAAAATTATAAAATTAAAAACTTACTGTACATAATATAATAGAAAGTTTAAGTGAATAGATCTGCGTTATTAACACTTTCGCGACCGTTATACATATATTCGGCTCTGCTCAACGCTTGGAGCCACTCTATTATATTGAACTGATGTAAAATCTGACATTTCATATTACACGACCTAATACAATGATGCAAAAAACAGTAAACGTAAAATTACGTGACCGGTTCCTAACTTATACCGAAGTATAAACATAAAAATACGTGACCGGCTACTGACTTATACCAAAATATAAATGTAAAAATACATGAGCGGCCGCGAAAGTGTTAAGTACTTTGTTATTTGTATTTTAATTTTATAATAATGCTATCTGCGATAAATGATCTGCATAACTTGCAATATATTTTTATTAATGGAGATTTGAATATAAATGTGTTGATAAATATTTCACTACATTTACAGATAAAACTGTAACTTCAATAAAAACATTTATAGCGATTTAGAAACTCTGTGTATGATATAAAATGTATCATTGCATCTCTTTTAAATAATTAAATTGCTGCAAATACTTTTACACGTTGAATATATATTTTCGTAATTTCTGATACAACATATAAGAATGGGGGAAATTAATAGAAACTACAAGCCATTTGACTTCGTCACTTCTTTCAACTAACTTTTAACAAATTTATGTGCAGAAAGCTGTATTTCGTAGGAGAAAAAGATTTCACACGAAAAAGAAATATTTACGAGCTAGTAATAGGCTTTTGCGGTAATGTGTTGTGACTTACGTAATGCCAATGTCTCGTGCCACTGGAGATACCTACGTACATGCAGTATATTTATGCAGATACGCTTGTAAGCGAAACCGCTTTCTCCATATGGTTTCACGATAAATTCTTGCGTTAAGTCTCCGTTTTCAATTCAAGATTGAGTTATATCTCTAGATTTATTTCAACTTAAAAAAAGGGAGATAAATTAATCTTTTAAGCATTTGACTTCAGTAGTGTGAACAAAGATTCTAATTTGTTTAAATATATAAGTTTCCAAGTTTGTCTTATCAGTTGAAAGTAAATCTAACGCATTGCAAGAATTTAAACATAAACCAAGAAAATTGTTCTTGGCATTTTTTGACAAAAAAAAATTATTTTTAGTTCATCAAAAATTTCATAAGTGAAAAATGATTTGCTGAAAATGTATGGTTCTTGATATACATATATAAATATTTATATACTCATTCAATAATTTTCTTCAAATTATATAATGAGATAGAAAGCTGAGATTTCGGATTATCCATCAAGGAAAAATTTAAAACCAAAAAAACTTTATCCCGAACTAACGAAGAAAGCTATAAATAGGGTTGTAAATGTTAGTTAAACACAGTCATTTACTAATCCTGTATTAAATTTTATTGCAAGTGCTATTAACAAAGGAAGCTAAGAACGCGCGCGCGCTTTTTTACTTTTTACTATTTAAAAGAAGAGATCACTTTAAAATTTTCAAAACATCAATTTTTGTTTTTTATTTAAAAAGAGAGTTTAAACTTTCTAGAATATTTTTCCATAAGTCGCTTGTCAAAATTCGAAAAATTTATCAAGTTATGACGAGTTTTGCTATGCGAGATTCTAAGTTAATATTGTCACTAAAACTTTAATCGCATTTTTGTCAAAATCAAGTTTATCGAACTGGTGTGCAGCATATCTTAATTAGCTTTGGTCTAATTAATTTGAATTACTGAATATTTTTACTGAATATTTTTAATAGTGTGCTCTATTGTCGTACGTACAATTTATTTTATGACAATTCCTTCTTGAAAAAAATACAAAATAAAAGAATTTTTTTCTTAAAATTTGAAGTATTTTTCAAACATGCGTAATTTTTCTTTTTTCTCGAATTTTTTAAAAATTTTATATGACGATAGCTAGAACCTTCTTTAAAAATCACTCTTATGTTTTTTGTTTCAAATAAATATTTTTTACATAACATTGCACATACTAATGTTATGCTTTGAAAAAACAGATTTTTAAAGCGGCTATATTAGATTAAAAAAAACTATATTAGATACATTATTCTTTTTTATTTTTTATTTTATAACAGTAAAATATGTATTTTAAAATATAATAAAACAATTTTTTAATCAAGTTTTTTATTTTTAAAAAATGCCAAAATATAATACCTTTCATTTTTGCGCAGTCCAAATGGTCTCTTCGTTAATAAAAAAACAAGAAAAATGTCATACCATCAATTACACTTGCTTTTGCATACTTTGTCTATAATTTTTTACAGATTATACAATTTAAATAAATATTAAAAAATAATATTTACAATTTAATTGAATATTTAAAAATCTCAATAAGTTTAATTTTTTTGTAAAAGATAAAAAACTGAAAAAATGAATTATATTAACTATGTGGATGTATATAAGTGCACTGTTAATAAGATATTAAAAAAAAACGCTCTTGTACTCTTTATAGATTTTATTATTTTTGTCTAATAAGAGTTATGCACAGGAAAGAATAAAAAACGAATAAATGCACCTATTGTTGCACCTAGACATTAATCTATAATCCCGACACACATCTGTTAATAGATATATTTTTCTTATTAAGTAAGTATTATCATTGCAGGATGCATACTTATCAAATTATGATAAAAATAAAAATAGTCAAAAATCACAAATAAAAAACATAATGTACATATTAATTAGAATGAAACTTTTACACGATTCAAGAAATTATCAAAAATAGATTTACATCTTTGTATTATAAAAATAATAATTCAGCAAGGAATCACAAGTGGCAGCAAGAAACTGCCATAATATTAAAATACATGAATAATCCTAACAGTTTGCATTAAAAGAACATATTTGGCATTGCGTCAAAAAACCACTTTTAAAATGTCAATTTTATGACCACAAGATGCCCTTGCTAGCTGTATTTCGTAAAAAAAAGGCTTTAGACATTCGTGCTAATTTCAGAAGCGGCTCTCCTTCGTTCATGGAGAAAATCGATAGTAACCGATCGTCCTTGTGAATGCATCGCCACGAAATCAAGATTCTTATTGTCTTGCTACTCTTTCTTTGACCTTATTAAGATTTGTTTCTCTTCTTCTTTAGAAGAATCTTATGCTTATGTAGAAAGTATTATTACAAACATAGCATTTTTAAATTGGTTATTTAAACAAAATGTTTTTAATCTTCAATATTTTTAGAAATAATATTTTTTCTGCAATATTCTTACACAATTTTATAACAGTGTCGCTATTTTAATTTAAAAAAATATTTAACAAAGCACGTTTTTTTCCTTTAAATGAGATAATGGTACATAAAAAATAGCAACAAGAAATTTATGCAGATTATTTATGCACATTAATAATAAAAATTAAAATGTCGGGATGTTATTGACTGAATGTAAAATAAGTAAATATTAAAATGTTTAAAATTTATCAACTCTTTTCGCTACGTGTCTTGCAGTTACTAATTATGATCTTGAGAAAAAAAGAGAAACAAGATCGTATACTGGCATCCGGGAATCTGCTGATAAACGATCTTAATATTCCTTATAATTAAATTAATAATGAAGTTCTTTGAAACATCAAATGATTTCTTTACGCTAGTGCAAAATATCTCTTGCCTCAACAAAGTAAATTTTTTCAAACTACTTTTGCAAACACTTATGTAAAATTACGAAATTCTTCAAACTGTTGATTTTTATTCTTGTGAATGACATAAGTTTCTCGTCATTGTGAGTAAACTTTAATTTTCACACAATAAGTGTAAAGAATGGAGCGTGGTCCAACTGAGAGAACCGGATGAGTCGAACAAAGTCTGTGATTCGACGATCAAATGTGAACTTTCACCACGTTAAGCCTTGCATTAGTTATATGCATTCCATCGCCTTGCGTTTATTCTTTGCTTCTTTGCATTTCACATGCGTTTTATCACTTTCGCTGATGTATCATCATATATTCACGATGATATGATATGATAACTTTCTCTCTCTCTTGTTTGTTTTTTTTTGTATTAACACTGATCTTTATGATACAAAAATATGAAAAATAAACAGTAAAAAACATCCGTATAGTCTTTGTAACTTAAAAATAATTACCAGCATAATAGTAATTGAAAATAATCAGTTCAACTTTATTAATGTATCATTATATTAAAATTTGCAGAATATGTGGTGTCATTACGTACACGCTAGCTGATAGTTCATCGGACATTGTGCAGATATCCGGTGACAATTTGACTCGAGCAAAAAATGTCATAGCAACAACATATCAACCGCCTCGAGCTATTCCAATTGAAGGTACTTATTAGATATTAATTTAAACAGAAATATAAAGAAAGTACATATTAATTTACAAGTTTCAAATGTGTCAGTTATTATGAAAGTGGATTCAGTAAAAAATCTGGAAATTGAATTTATTCCTTACTTTATGTTACATCGATCAACATTATAACAACATATACCTATTTTTGAAAAATAATTCAAAATTGAATCACTTAATGGCGTTGGTCAATGTGCTGTTAAACAATGTTCACATTTATTTTAACAGTGATCTAACAAGGAAACAAACACAAGTGTTTCCCTCCAATTTTGACGAACTTTAAATATGTTGTAAAGCAGTTCAAAATAAGAGACACGCATTCTTTTTATCTGTTTTCTCGCACGTTTAAGGTTGAAACAACCCCTACAAGCTAAAACGGTTTTTTTTTGTTTTGATTGAATATCGTCAAAACTGTAAGAGATATCAAAAAATGTTTTGAATAAAAGTTGCATGGTCTTTTATAAGCTTTATAACCGCACAGCTAAATTTAAAAAAAATTATATATTTTTTAATTTACCCTCACCCTTTCTCATTATTTTTATGAATTTCAAAATTTTTGTCATGACAAAAGTTGTAGCATTTTTTACGCTAAATACAACCATATATAATTTTATTATGTTTCAAAATTGCATCTTTCAGAAATGAGCCGTCAATATCGTACTATATGCATCGCGCTGCATGACATATCGTTTATGCCGCGCTTGTGTTGCGCAATAATATTTTTAGCGCGACGCATATAGTGCGATATTGACGGCTTATTTCTGAAAGATGCGATTTCGAAACATAATAAATTCATATATGATTGTATTCAGCGTAAAAAATGCTACAACTTTTGTCACAATAAAAATTTTGAAATTTGTAAAAATAATAAGGGGTGGGGGGTAAATTAATAAATATATAATTTTTTTTAAATCTAGCTACGCGGTTATAAAGCTTATAAAAGACCATGCAACTTTTAAAACATTTTTTTATATCTCTTACAGTCTTGACGATATTCAGTCAAAACAAAAAAAAACCGTTTTAGCTTGTAGGGGTTGTTTCAACCCTAAACGTGCGAGAAAACAGATAAAAAAAATACGTGTCTCTTATTTTGAGCTGCTTTACAACATATTTAAAGCTCGTCAAAATTGGAGGGAAACATTTGCGTCTGTTTCCTTGTAAGTCACTGTCCCCTGATAAACTTATGTTGTATGATAAAAAAAGTATTTATTCTTTCAATATGTCAGATAGTAATTCAGGTAAATAAATTTTATATAATAATATAAAATAATATTTTATAAATATTTTAAAGCACTCGAGACTTTAAAAATTAGAAATTTTATTATCAAAAAAGAAAAAAAACTAGAATATTGGTGTATATTTTTAATATACACTTCTCAAAAAAATTAAGAAATTACTTGATTTTTGTTGAAAAAAAAAGACAATTTTTGGTCGTATTTTTGTAACAAAAATATCTTTGTATCAATTTAAAAAAAAAGCATTTTAAAGCTCCAAATCTTTACTTTTAAATGCATTTGACCAAATTTATCTTTTTTCGGACTTTACTTTACAAAAAAAGAAGAGCCCAATAAAATAAAAATTTTTTGCTTTTCTTTGCGAGTGTGTACATGTATAAAAATTCTAAAAAAAACTTTATTATACGCATTAAAAAGCTTGAAACTTTTTCTTTAAATTGAATAGTCGACGGTTATTGTCCGATTTTTCGTTACCGAAGTATCAAGGGTTGAAAGAAAAAAATAGTCCTTTTTACTTTAACTTTGTATCTTCGTAATCAATCAACGTAAATTAAAATCAGAAAAAAAAGAATTCAGCCAAATGCATTTAAAAATAGAGATTTGATATTTTAAAATACTATTTTTAGAAAGTTGATACAAATTTTTATTGTTAGTAGTTAAAGTTACAGCCGTTTGAAAATCTTTTTCAACAAAAATATCAACAAATGACCATTTAATTTTTTTGAGGAAGACTTATTTTTCTATTCACTGAAAAAAATGTTTTGCTTATGTAGGTAGATTTCTAGATGTCACAACAAAAATGTATCGCTATTTTTTGTATCTGCTAAAATATTGTTTGTCACATCTAAAATTTATAACAGCAATATTCTAGCAATATCTTCTAGAAAATTTAGGTCTCATTGCCAAAAAATAATAATTGCATTGAGTAAATGAGTTTTAATACTGTAGCTAGAACAAGCTATATTTCTTGTGAGAAATATAGCTCGTTCTAGCTACCGATTATAACGGGCGCATTATACAAATTATGTTCACTCAAAAAAATGATCTTGCAATAATAGCTAAAATTTTCTAGGTGTAAAAAATTAACTAAAACAGATAAATGATTAGCAACTGTTGTGATATTGTATATGTAATTATTTAATCAGTTTAGATGACAGAAACAGAATATATATCTGTATTGTTTGTGAACTTTAAAAAGAAAGTTTCTCTAAAGCGCCTATCTATATAAGATCAATCACGTGTTAGATCATGCAATGAATAACATTTAGCAATGGTACCTAAATTTTTCAGAAGCTATTGCTAGAACATTACTGCTATAAATTCTGTATGTGACAAACAATGTTTTCACAGATACGAAAAATAGCGATACATTCTTGTTGCGATATCTAGAAATCTAACTACATCAGCGAAATATTTTTTTGAGTATTTAGATGTGATGATCATACCACCATAGCAAAACAAATCACAGTAATATCATAATGATATTTCTCTGTGACGCTTAAATATGTCATAATGAAATCGTGGTGACATATGAATGTCTGCTTTATCACAGATATAATGTCGCTATAACATCATTGTGATATAAAAAATAAAATAAAAATATAAAATAAGAAATAGAAATTTATCTACTTAATTTCTGAACAATCAGTCTATTTAAATTCCTGTTTGGATTCAGATATTAAACTGATAGAAAGTTATTACATCTTTAATATTATTAGCTGCCTTTTGCAAGTTTGATATAATTCTCATGATTAAAACTTAAATACGAGATAGATAGCGCATAAATGCGTCACATAGCGGCAAGCAAACGAACTAATGACTAAATACTGTTTTTGGAATGTTGTAATATTTCTGCGACATTTGATGTCATATTATGATGATATCACCACGACTGTAACTATATAATGATATCACTGTAACTTTCTGATAATGTCACAATGACATCTCAATTTTTCTTGTAACCTTGTGACTCTATTGTAAGTCTGTTGTAATGTCACTGTGGTTTTTTTTGCTATGGGGGTATATTCAGTTGTCTCTCGCCGTTAGTCTTTTTGTGTACCACAGTCAAACTTTGTAACAACTATTAGCTTTAACATGAATAGGCGTCGCAGGAAAACTTTCTTTCTAAATTTCACAAATAGTTCATATATAAATTCTGTCTCTGTCATTTAGATTGATTAAGTGCCAAACATATTCGATATCACAGTATTTGCTAATTATTTATCTACTTTAGCTAATTTTTCGCACCCAAAAAATTTTTGCTGTAGTTGCAAGATTATTTTTTTCAGTGA